CCGCCCTCACTCCCCCACCCGCCCCCTCAAATAGCATGAAACACTCACCGCTGTCTGCTGTGCCCTCACTACCATCCATCAGCCCAGAATTGGGATAAGAGGCATCACTGTAGTCATTAAGGGAGGATTTGGCTGTGTCTGCAGTGTATTATTTTGGGGTGGGAAAATCCATCAACTTCGCAGGGAGATGGGCTAGTGCACCAAATTATTTATGAGAGCCAAAAACAGAAAAGAAAAATGTCCATACTGTCCTAAAACTAAATGGACAGAATAAAAAATGTAAAAGACATAATGTCTTGATTTAAATACAATCATTCCAAACATGTACAACTTTCATTGGTTGATTCAAAACAAGGGCAGCTGGTGGACATACAGGTAAGATGCGACAAATTTACTGCTGTACCACAATTTAACTAATCCTAACTGTATGGCTAGGTGCCAACTGCCAAATAAAATTATTGGCCACAAAGACAGAATCTCAGCAAAGGGGTTTCACCAATGACCTGCGATCGAACCCCCATCAGTGGTTCAAAAGATGCAGGAACCCAAAATGAAGGTCACCATATTAAACAAAAATCAATATTGTGTGATTAAATGTAGTCTTTTATCGCTCTCTGCAAAGCTACACACTGATGCAATCCAGATCTGCAATTTACGTTAACTCTCCAGCTGCTGTCTTTCATGGTGAACTGAATTTTAGCTGAGCTCTGGCCAGCGCAACCACTCCACCAACCCATTCATAGACCAACATAATTCCTCCTTCCACCGCCTCCCCTCCCCCTGTCACAGTGATCCCATTTTGATATAATTCAACTGGATTTAATTGATGATAAACCAACATGACAGCATTCAACCGTTATAATGCATGTCTCTCTTCTAGCCTGTCGAAAAATTTATAGCTCTGGACAGCAACCCAAATTTATAGCACATGGACGTTTTGTGAATGTTGCAGCAATTTAATGAAACACTGTTAAAAAAAAACAAACAAAGTCTCCGTTTCATGTTTGCAGGCTTATACCATCCAAGGACAGTATGCCATCCCACATCCAGATGTGAGTGCTCGCAACATCAGGCGCTCCACATTGCATCCAAATAGCTCTCTTGGAATCAAAGGCTCCTACCAGCACCTCCCCTTCCTCCTTAATTAATATTCAATGCTAACATTAATATGGCTCTCTGACATGTTATTCCTATATCTTCTGACTGAAGACTCTTGACTTCCTTCTGTCTGCTCTCTGTTAAACTTCCATGGGGCTTGGCCTGCAGCTCGCAACACCAGCTAATAGTATCCTCATCTAATATTTAGCCCTTGTTTTCGTGCACTCCAGCATGTAACATCTTACTTTGTCTTATAAATGTGTTCAAGGGAGTTAAACAAGAACCTCGGCACTGCATGAGATGTTGACGGCATCTTGGCTACGAAGCTACTCATGTCTAAAAGAACCAGAGCCACTGAGAGACGATATTGATTTTATTATTGCAGAATCAATTAAAGTCGGACTCCACCAACGATCCTCAACAGGTCTTTCTGACTTGACAGATACGGTGCACAGTCTTGTATAAAATACTTGAAAGCGATACTCAGGTTCAGGTATCCGAACAGAAAATAATTTGAGCAGATATTAAGGTCAGCTTGTAGAACAGTACTTAAATAAAAGTCTGAAAGTATCAGACATTTGATATTGCTTGTAGTTCATACTCAAGTATTGGAGGTCAAAGTATGTTTAAAAATGAACAATAAGAATACAAATAACGTCTTTGTTGTGTCTTCCATACAATGACAGAATGACATTGGGAAACAACAGAGAGAGGCTTGAACTTGCTTATTGGAAAATTGGGTGCCTCGCTTTGGAAGGCAGGACCATTTTGCTACTTTGTGTGGCGTGGTTCATGCATGACGTCAGGAAAAATTTCTACTGATTTTTTTTTTTTTGGAGTAACTAAGGAAGATGGTTAAGGGAAATGCATGTGCGTAAAAGTGAAAATTGACTAAAATATAAATCAAGTAGAGATATGTGAAAATTCTATGTACACTAATCGCATGCACTTTGACTGTGCATATTCTCGTCACAGCGCCATCTGCTGGATCAGGTTGGTAACTTTGAAAAGTGAATGTAAATTCTTTTTCCTCCACCATTTGGGTCTTGAGCAAAACATGAATGGATTCTTGCTCAGCATATGCCAGGCCTCCACAAAGAAAAGGAGCTTGTATATTTCTCACATAGAAAAGACTGAGACCATCACTCGCCCTCATGCTTTCACGCATGGCAGAGGTAATTTACTTCAGAAAGGGAAGTTGAGATGCTTGCATTTCCACAAACAACTTCAGGCCAAGCCCTTTATGAACGTCTTCACCTTCACCTTTTTGTGTTTCCTCAGATCCTATCTTGACTCTCGTAGCCATTCGGACAGACCTGTGTGTGTGTGTGTGTGTGTGTGTGTGTGTGTGTGTGTGTGCGTGTGCGTGTGCGTGTGTGTGTTTAAATGTGTTTTTAACGATGACCTCATAGCTTTGCTGTCCTCCTCCTCCCCCCCTCAGCAGTTGAGCAAGCTCCACCAGTTGGCTATGCAGCAAACCCCCTTTACCCCCCTCGGACAGACCACCCCTGCCTTTCCTGGTACGTACCCACCTACACGATGACCCTCTTTACCAAAACTCCTTCTCTTGTTTGTACCTCTAGAAGTGAACACACTCTCGTCCTCCGACACTTTCTTGATCTCTTCCTCTCGCTGTTTTCTTTTCTTCTTCTTCTTTTCCTTCTTTTTGTTGTCTTCCTCCTTTTGCTCTGCCTGGGACATGGCCTGCTGGTGGTCTGCTCTTGTTGATGTTGAGGTTTTTTTTTTGCCCCCCCCCCCCCCCCCCCCCCCCCCCCCCCCCCCCCCACCCCCCCCCCCCCCCCCACCCTTCTCCACACACACACACACACACACACACACACACACACACACACACACACACACACACACACACACACATT